GCATCATACGAAAGGATAAGCGTCAGATCAAGGACAGGCCAAACAGCTTTGCCAGTGAGGAAGGAAGAAGTGCCTGTGTCAGGAGAAAAAGGCACCACACTGAACATGACAGCAACGGCGGCAGCAGGTCAATGTTCTCATGGTAATTCCTCTTTTTTTTTTTTTTTTTTCTTCCTCCATCGTTCAGCTCGCCATTCTCATGCCCTCGCCCAGACGTACATGCAGCTGAGTTGCTCATTGAATATACAACTGAACTTCATTGAAGTCTCTTCCACCNGTTCAGCTCGCCATTCTCATGCCCTCGCCCAGACGTACATGCAGCTGAGTTGCTCATTGAATATACAACTGAACTTCATTGAAGTCTCTTCCACCATCTGGTCTTAGAATCATGCAGCATTTAGTCTAATTGCATGTCCATATACTGTTGCGGCGCAGGCTCGATTGACAATCGCTCGACTTTATTACGCATTTGGCAGATCGTTTTACGAGCATGCACACTTTTTAACCCCGATGATTCTTGTTGCTCACAAGAATGACATTCCCCCTGGACACCCAACAAACCAGATATGGTCGCCATAGCCAGGGAGTGAAAGGATCTCATGTTGCGCAGTATCACGCAGCTAAGGACCACGCTCCACTACTCACCCACATGCAAAAAAGACAAAAAATATGGCGGTGTATCTTTCTATGTTCTAGCGGACATTCTTTTTCATTTTGCAATTTTGGTGAGTAGTGGAGCAAGGCCCTATGGTTGTGGTGAAAATATCGCGCTTCACAGCTATGGGTGCAAAGTTGAAAACACTGCAAAGCGCTATCTCTATTGCCTGATGTCGAAAGCTTGCCGAAAGAATGATGAAAACTGGTGGACTTTGTGGCTTTTTCCTAAACATCGTAAACGAAACATTCAGGCGCATGCTGCCATCTTAGCTAACTGGCCTGGCACTACAAATCTATCTGTTGATAGTTCAAAAGAATCAAATCAATTTGTTTAAGTTTAAACCACCAGTACATGCCAGCCATCGGCCACGGGCCCCTTTCGGAGGCCACTTGCCGTCGATTTATTTTTAAAAGTATCAATCAATTTGTTTAAAAGTTCGAAAGCCTTAAACCACCAGTACATGCCAGCCATGGGCCACGGCCCCCTTTCGGAGGGCCACTTGCCATCGATTTATTTTTTGCCGATGCGCGCGAGCCTCCGAAATTTTAGGAGAGGGCGCAATCAGACTCTCAACTTGGCTGGGGCTACCAACCAGTACATGCCAGCCAGCGGCCACGGCCCCCTTTCGGAGGCCACCCACCATCGATTTGTTTTATCGATGGCGCGCGAGCCTTCAAAATTTTACGAGAGGCTCACTCAGACTCTCAACTTGGCTGGGCCCATGTACTGGTGCTTTAAGCTTCTGATCAGATAGGGCCTGAGATCAAACCCCAGCATCAGCTCTCAAAGACACACCAAAAATGTGGACTGTTCCCAGCAGCAAAAGGGGAATGCCTCCAACAGGGGACATGCAGGCTGATGATGCAGCTGCATTTGGCGAATTTTGGCCTCAATAGTTTTTTTCTTTTTCTTTCTGCGTTAATGAACTAAAATTTCAACCCCACTGTTACCCCAGGGAAAATGCAAGAATCACCCCACAAGGGCCACAAGATATCTGTAACATGTAAGAGCAAACATGCACTACATTTTAGTATTTCACCCCCAAAATTCCCCCAAAACCAAAAGGGAAAATTGAAAATTATGTGCTCCACTGCACAGTATTTGCAAGAGCAAACTATGAGTTAGATTTCACTCCAAAACTTTGCGAAAGGGGGAAATTAGTATTTCAAATTACTAAATTCTGCGCTTCATCCTTTTTCTCATCAACATTTTATAAAATGTGTCTTGCATTTTTCAGCCCTTAGTATCGTTGTGTCCGACATGATTGGAAGTTTTTGAACTCATGATTAACTTATGAGTTACAAGAGTAAGTCACTAAGCGGTCAGGCAAAAGTTAACAGTCTTTCAATCAAACAACTAACATCGAACTGAATTAACGGAAGTCAACTGGTCTTCTTCTCTGCATGTCTGTCTTTCTGCACAGGTGGACAAGCTGTGGGTCATGTAAGAGCCACTGAAGGCGTAGCATCACCACAGCCACTCATTGACAATGGAAGCCGTTCAGTCTCTTCGACCTTTGACGCTGAACTCACTGCAATGGCAGTGGCACCGCAATCGCCTGCGCTCCTTTCAATGACTTCGAGATCGGACTCAGATGTGCAGAAGATCTTCAGAGAAAACTCACCAGTCCCTGGTAGCAGCAGTTTCACCCAAAGTACACCCACAAATCCAGTGACAGATGCGGCACATAAACATCCATCGACTCCGTCACCACCACCAACAACAACAACTCATTGCAGCTGCGCACAGTGTGTCTCTGAGAAAGCATCGCATCATCACATTGCTGCAGCACGACAGAAGGTAGTAGAGGAGGAAGACACTGCCACTTTAACAGCGCAGAGCCTCAAGATTCTGCATTCGTTAACAACACCATCGCAAGAGAGGATCTTCTGCAAGGAACAGCCCCCAGCAGCATTGCTGCCAAACAGCACAGCAAATGCGACAGAAGTCACAGAAAGCAGTTTGGCATGTTCTCATAGCATTCCACACTTGCGACCAAAGCAGAGGACCACCACATCATTGTCACCCGCCCAAGAAGATGGACCAATTGCTGGACCAGGCACAGCCACTGCACCACCCACGCGCAACCGATCCGACGTGTCTCGCGTCAGTCCAGAGCAGGTTTCCTCAGAAGACGAGCCAACTAGTGGACCTTGCCCAGCTGCAGCTCCAGCCAAACGCAGCTTAACGAGCCCAGCGCATGTCGATTCACATCAGATTGCCACAGACCAGGTACCAAGTATTGGACCGGGTTCAGCCACAGCATCAGCCAAGCACAACCTGGTAATCCAAATGGGCACCACTCGACAGCAGCCTGCTCCAGGAGGTGGGCGAAGTGCAAGTCACGACTACCATGGCACAACCGTCGAGTCTCCGCCAGGGGAAGAGGGCACCGACCCCTACGTTTCCCGACATCACCATCATCCCATGACTAACTGTGACTGGCCGTGGGGCATGTCTGATGCCGTCCCAGTTCTTTCAGGAATTGCACTGGATTCTCCTGAGCCTGACCCATGCAACAACACAAGCCAAGCCAGCACCACCGAGACATACCCTCCGGGAGGCGGGACACTTCCGTCAGCTTGGCGATCGATGGCATGCTCCACAGGCACCAACGGATTATCGAATGTGATTTGTTCACCCAGCGGGACTGAAACTCTGTCTAACGCCATCGGTACCCTTTCTCCAACGATACCAGAACAGCGCTCCTGGGATTGTTCAGACACTTTGTCTCTTCACGACGACAGCCTTAGGACAGATGACATAGATGCCCTGGATCATTGTCGCTCCTTCGAGAGCTTGCCACCCCACTGGGTGCGCCCATCATCGCACAACCTGGATTTGCTGGGTCCATCCACACACAGCAATCCTTTCGCTAAGACCAGGGAAGCAGCTAGTATCACCCCATCTTCTCCTACAATGGCTTCCGACCGTGCCAAAGAGCCGTGGGAGGTCTCGTTAAAACCAGTTGTGAACACGTCACGAAAGAAAAGGAGTGTCTGGTCCACCGTCCAACGGCCGATCGTTATGACGTCTGATTCCACCGTTATCGATTGGCATCCGACACACAAGCGATCAACGGCTCGAGCTACCACAGTCAATTCGGAGCCTGGAGCGCAACAGTCTGTAGTGATGTGGAGAGAGTGTGACGGCAAAGAGGAAGAGGAAGGGGAAGAGGAAGATGGACAACCAGAAACCTGGTGTGCTTCTGCTGCTGCCACCTCCGAAGCAGGACCAGGGTCCAAGTTGAAGTCATGGACAACACCAGTGGTGCAGGCCAGCCTATCTGACTCTTCAGTGGCAGTTCCAGAGTCTGTTCCTGTCGGCAGCCGGAGGGTGAACCCTGCGATGGGTGTAGAAAAGCAAAACACACTCAGTGGCAGAATCGGATCAGGTATGAAACCAACCAACACCGCACAAGAGGGGTCCACACCCCAGCCAGATCTTAGCAAATCTTTCTCGGCTTCCGAGTTAAGGACCTCCACAGAAACCCCAGACAGCCAGCCACTCTGGGGAGAATATGGCAATGATGAACAACAGAAACCAGCTGCATCAAGAGTGCAGACCCGAGATACGGGCAACATCCAGCCTGCCGCGTCTACTACTAGCAACAGTGGTGGTACTTCGAGACCTCATGGCGCCAACAGAGCAGCACATTTGGGCATAGCGATCGATTCCGGAGATACGAGCGACTATGCCGCTTTGCCCATCGCACAGAGCAAAGCCGAGTCCCAGTTAATGGACACGAAGAAGCCCAGTATTCTGCTGGGGACTGATTTCAGTGTGAGAGCAGATTGTGAAGAAGTCGCCTCTTCTTGTCCCAATTCCCTGAGCCCGTTCCAGAGTCTATCACTGGACCACAACCACAATCACTGTGCGGACCAGCTCTGTTCCTCACGTTCCCAACGTGACGGCGGCACGAGACTCAGTCCCGAGGCCTTACTAGGGGCGGAACTACTTAATCAGCTCGACAACGATCACTTCGGTTGCACCTTGCTCACAGAAGATCCCAACCCTTTTCTAGACATGCCCGGCAGTCATGAGCTCACCCTAGCAGACATCGACGAATGGATGCCACAAATACACCCTGCTGAGTCATTCGGTTCGTTCTCCTGCAGAAAGGACAAGGTAGCGAAGTATAGCAGCAGCAGCAGCAGCAGAAGTGCTGATCACTGCGCGCCATCTGCTAGTGACAAGGACACCGCCCTCAAGACTTCCCAAATGGGCGAGGAACCGAAGCGTCCTAGAAGAGTTAGACTTAGACGTGGGAATAGTATGTGGGTGGGAGTGTTGTGTACATTAGACCCCAGGCTTTCCACAAGTCCAGAGGGACGAGGGCAAGGGGGCGCTTCGGTTCCGAAGCTAAGGGCATTATCACAGACGTACACGCCCGATAATTCAGCAAATAGCGGCGTCCACAGAATGCCTCTTGCTGAGAATGTAACTGGGATTGACCAGCTGCCAAGAGATGGTGGACGGCGGGGGAGGTCATTCTCATCCTCGTGCTCATCGATGTCATCGTCATCATCAAGACAATGGAACGATTCCGCGTCTTTCGGCATGGTTGGACAAGTACCCAACGTCAACGAGTCCTTGATTACTAGAAATGAATGGCAGAAAGATAGAGTTTCACAGGGTTCAAGCTTGGCATTTGGGGGGAGCTCAAGAAGTGCATGGCAGAGACACACAGAGTCGAAACTCAAGCGTGAGGTGCTAGCCGAGAAGAACCGATGGAGCACAGACAGGAGACTCAGGGCACACCACACACACTAGGACTTTGCAAGCTGAATATCACCGTTAGTCTGGCTATATGCATGCACCAAAAGTCCCAGTGTGAGTATTCCCGCAGTAGAACAGGATCAAGAATACCATAAGATGACAGCTGAGAGCCCAACTACTCTCCTTTCCCCCTCTTTCTGTTCTACTAGAGCTCTTCCACTCTTTCTCCGCCACTTTCTTGACAATGTCACCGTAGAGCCTCGCCGGTCTCCTCTTCCCATCTTCTGCATAAGATACCCCTCTTGCCTCCCCACCAACTTTCTTGGGGTTAGAAGGGGTCTTCGTTCCCTTGTCGGAGTCGCCCATGTTGTGGTGCTTCCTCAGCCGATTCGGGTAATCTAACGCGTACCCCTCTCCCACTACCCACCAACACCTGCCTCCCATTATTCTGCAACCATCCACCACTCATAGCTCTCTACTTGCCAGGGTGCGATTGCGAGCAGGATCTTCTCCAGGCTATGCATATGCCGAATATCCTGTGAGTCTGTGAGTGTGTATATTATAAAGGCTGAGCACTAACTTGGGAGTTTTGCAACCAGACAGCCGACAGTCCAGTATCTAGTATCTGGCTGGACGAGCATTTATCTCAGCTGGTACATCCATGAACTGTCAAAATACAGACCAGAGTTCGAATCCAGATGCAACCCGCTGACCAGAATAAAGCCATTCTGAATTACCTGGGGGCGATAAAAAATAGTGAAAGAAAGAAGACCCATGCCGTCACCAGAATCGTCACTGAGCAGCAGCAATCCTCCAGGAGGGACCAAACTTGAAAGTTATCCCTCCCCCTTCTCTTTTAAAGAGTCTTTTCCCCTTTCGTTTTTGGTTTTTGGACGGACGAAAGTTTCAAACCCTCACTTCAAAGTTCAAAGAGAAAAGAAAAAAAGAAGAGCAATATCAGTAGGAAATTACTAAATACTAAATAGTAAATTAGACTATTACTAGTCTATTAGTAGAAAAAATAGAAGTGTGACAACAGAATGAACAAAATCATTTGATCAAAAGAGATGACCTCAAGTGGCCCAACAAGCTTTTTTTCATATGCCACACGGAGAGATTGAAGAGGCAACCATAGGCGCTGCCAGGCCTTAGTCCCCTACTATCAAATATATACCTTAATGAACTCGACCACTTTATAGAAACAACTATTTTGTTAGTTACCGGATTGTAGACCCTTTTTTTTTGTTGTTGTTGTTGGG